TTTACTGTAAAAGATATCAAAAAGTGGCTAACTAGTAAAATGTTGCTGATATCCTGATAAACATTTTACTAGTTAACCACTTTTTGATATCTTTCAAAAGAAATGAGATATATAGGCTCAAATTGGACGATCCGGGTGTCGTTCTATTAGAGGTTTTACGGTAATTACATTTATGTTAATGCAAAATTTATAAGCTGTGGTCCATAGCCAATGAACAAAGTATATAACATAGGATCACTATCACCTCACTACCAAAAAAATAATGCAACAGGAATCTTCATTAATCAACATTCAAGCAATCAAAGTGTTATTTCCCATAGAACATTGAAGTCCTGGACAAGCTTTGTAGAAAGTGTAACGGAAGCTCTCACATCCATAATGTCCGGCCTGGAAAGATTTCAGATTACAGTATCCGATAATAAAACTCACTTCCAAATTGTCACATCCATTACGATAGACTCTGTTCAGACAATCTCCAGCTTGTTGGATGGATCTGAAAATTTTAAGAAATGTTTTGAAACAAATATTAAGAGAACTCACGGGCAGAAGTTGTTCGTTGACACTGTTTGTTTGAATGACGACATGCAGTTTTGATAGGCATTCGTAGTTGGAAGGCTTTCAAGACAATTCCATTGGTTCATCACTTCTATAAATCATAAATTAAATTTTAATTGGTCATTTATCTCCTCTCATACCACGGAATCCTCCTCCACAAGCCCACTCAAGTCCACGGAATGTTCTGATGTAGTCAAATCCTAAAAAATTGTTTATACTTTTCAGGGAACTAAATTCCTTTAATATTTTTACCGTCCGACGAATCAGTGTTGTTACTTTCCAAACGAGTGTGAAGATTCATACAAGAGTAATAGGACTGTCCCAAGCAGTGATAGAAGTTGGTACGAGCTCTAAAAGAAATCAAATTATATAATTTTCGAAAATTGAATATTCTCACTTGCAAACTTTGTTGAGCTGTCTCACATTGCTATTCAAATAGTCTTGGATGGTAGAGAAAATGTCGGATCCTTGGTCGTAACTGACAGAAGAGTTCAGCCCAAAGTTTTGGTTGAATAGATACTGAAAATACCTAAAGAATTTCAGATTTTCCTTATGTTTCAATTCCTACCTGGCAATAGTTCAATTGAGCGACATTGCAGATTGATCCATTACTGGAAGGTTGTTCCAGTTGAGCCGTATAATTGATCAAATCATTAGACAATGAGAAGGGAAGAAGAAGATCCGAACGTCAGAGAGCAACGAGTCCCAGAAGAGAAATCAAAGCGTAACGCATTCTGAATAATTATTCTACCGTAACAAACTGCTAATAACAAACTTATGATAAGAAAGCACAAACTGATAAGAGAACAAAAAAAACGAATTGAAACTTTTCACACCCGAATCATTATTTTATACCCGACTTATTCGTGATAATTATGATATTTTCTTGGTGCTAGGAAATCAAAAAATGAGAGAAAAGATGGTGGAGAGAAAATGAGAAATTGTGACTCTGTTCAGATTTCCGAGGTTGACGCCCAGTTTCGTTTCGGATTCGTCATTTTTCTAGATTTTGGAGAAAATAGAGGACTGTAACTGATGGTCACACCCATTTAGTCTACGTTATAGCCGGTTGGACTCCTCCTAGGTTTCAATAGAAACATATTGGTAGTTTTTTTCTCATGGACAGTTTCAACCCTAAAGCGCATCATTTAGTATAAAAAGGTGCGCCTTCAATACCGTACCTCGAAACTATTGAATTTTTGCTTATTTTCGTTAATTTTTTGCTCGTTTTTTCCAATTTTCGCTTGATTCTCACAATCAAAAAAACCAAGAAAAATAGGTCAAAATTGATTGATTGTGAAATACGGTATTAAAGGCTAATGCAGTATTTCAAAAAAAAAAACTTTGCTATTCCGTTGCTGGACGATGCGCCTTTAAACTGTATTTTCTGCAGCATCGCGCATTGTTGTCCTAGAAATAATACTATCCGAGAAATTAATCCGATAAAACAACGAAGGTTTCTATTATTTCAGCAAACTTCAAAAAAAACGTGCAGTTCGTATCATTATTATTTTGGAACCTGAATTAGTCTGACTTTGAGAAGAAATAATCGAAGAGTATATTTCAAATAAGAAATGAGCTCATGCTGAGTTTTCATCCAATATAGAACTTTTGAAACATAAAAGTGTTATTCTTTATTGACAGAAAAAAAAATATTTTTAAACATTAGAATTATTCTCTAAATACATCTTTCTGGTTCCATACACAACCAATAAAAATTCTCGGACCGCATTGAAGCGATACAATTTTTCCATCGGATTCTCTTTGTACATAAACGGCATTCTCTATTTTGAAAGGTCCAGGGAATTGTGTATAGTATTTGTCTCTGAAAAAGAAACCCGATTATGTATTGAGCAAGAAAAAGTTTCATAGTTTATGAAAATCCCAGGAAAGAAAAGTCAAAAATCGAAAACCAACCTCTCATCCAATTCAAATTCCTGTGGCATTCTGTTCAAATCCCATTGATTTTGTCTATAATTTGGCAAAAGTTCAGGTTTAAATTGTTCTCCAAATGCTTGTTCAATATGAATTAAGTTCAAATTGTCAGAGTATTTTCCATTTAATCATCCATCAATGGACTCATGAACTTGATACGCTATGGTGAAACCACAGAAATATGCATTAACTCCTTTAAAATTGGAAATGTAATCCAAGAAATGATTCCAGAAACATACGACACGCAAATTCCGAATGTTGATGATATCAGGAATTCGTCTAAGATGTTTCTCCTCAAGAATCAATAGTTTCAGGTCAATATGATTGCTCATGAAAGTGGTGAGATCATTTGCTGTCACATCTTTAAATGCAGCGATGGTGAGAGAAGGAATTGGGATATAATAACTTTTATCCAATGTATTAAAACGAACACCAAATTTCAAGTTTCGACATTTTCGGAATAGTTCCAAAATGTGTTTATACATCCTTGTTACTATTCTTTTCCCATTTACAGTCCTCATTTCAAAATTGTAAACTGGTTTTGTTCAGTAGTCTTCCATGTAATAAAAAAATTGTCTGAAATTTCGAATTATTCTGATGTCATAACCACCACACTTACGGCAGACGAATCTCCAAAATATATCTGAAACTTTCTCGAATCGAAGACAAATGTAACTTCGATTGGTTTCCAACGTGTCTGCCTTAAGATTCTCAAGAGATTTCGAGAAGTTAGACTTAATGGAAATATGGATTCGTATTCCATATTTCTGAATATTTCTTCTTGTACTAGTCGCGGATATTTCATTAGGCGCATTTCTGAAAACATGGAAAATAAAATTTGTAACAAGATAGTCAACCCGAATTTTCTCGGTTTTTTAAGAGAGATTTTAAAAAGTTGTCAACTGATAAAATGCATTTTAGATTATTCTGAACGTTTTGTTAGTTGAGCACTTTTTGATATCTGTCACAGAAATCGAGATGATATGGATCAAAGCTGAAAGTGTAGGAGGATTCTTCTAAAACAAAGATTTTACGGCTAATAAGAGGAAAAAAAGGTAAGACAGTAAAAAAGGAAATGGAGAGGACATTCATAAAACATGTTTGAAATTTCAATGTATTTCTTCATAAAAAAAATTTAAAAATTGGAAAAAAATATTCTGTATAGGATGTAGAAATAATCTGTTCCGGTTCTATTTCATAGTGGAAAAAAATTTATTGAAACTTCTCTGACATTAATATTGATTTTCTATTGATTTTCTATTGACTTTCTATTAAGAAGGCGTCAAATCATTTGCAGGCATTACATGATTATCTCTTTGAATTTATCTCTTGGAATCGTTTCTTCTGGGAAAGGAAGAGATTTTCTGAATATTATAGGCTATTATTCTAGAGATATAATCTGAAACATGAATCTCTAGAATTTTCCAGAATGTCCACGATTACGGGTTTCCGACACACCTGAAAACTGTTAGAAAATTTCTCATCATTAGAAAATTTTTGAGAATCGAAACCACAGAATTTCAGAAAAAGGTTACTGAAGGAGGACTCTTGCTTTTTTGTTTGCTGAAAAAGGAGAATGTTCTTGAAATCCTGCCAAAGCTGAAATTTCCAGGCCATCAACTTTTTTCAATCTGAACATTTCAATTGAGAAAAAACATGTATTCGACAATATTCCAATATCAACATCTCGTTTTCCATATCAAAACTATCCAGCTCTTTCTCCATTTATTTTGTTGTGGTCAACGGAACAAAAAGAGAAATAGCGAGACGCAGAGAAAGGAAATTTTTTACAACACCAAAGCAGAGCTTTTCAGAAGAAGAGACGCAGACTGTTAGACGAAGTTTTGAACGAGTAAACAAGAAGAAGAAGAAGAAAAAGTATTCGAAAACGGAGAAGAAAAACGAAGGAGATATTTTTTCTACTGACCACTCGACATATCGTTTTTGTGTGTTCCTCTTCCTAGGTATTTTCCTTCTTTTTGTAGAAAGGTACCACGTGTCTCCTCCTTTCGTACACATGTTTCAGATTGTTTTTATGTGATCTACCTTTTTTTATTGTTTTTAGAATGTCGTATTTTTATTATCATAAAAGTGTTATATCGCTTTTTGTACCTCAAAAATTTTTCCGAATTGTAAAAATTGTGAAAAGTTTTTTTCGAAAAAATAAACAAACTTCTTTTCCGTTTTTTTTTTCAATTAAATTTTTACAATTGGAAAAATAATGGAAATTCAAAAAAATATGGTTTTTGAAATTTCTATTTTTTTTCGGTATTTTTGGGATTTTGAAGTTTTGGCTTTTTTAAAGTTTTGAATTTTTTTTTGGAATTTCAAAAAAATATTTAGAATTTTAGAGTTCTCAAATTCCGTTAGAATTTTGAAAATCTTGGAATTAAAAAATTTAAAAAATTTTCTTTTTTTGAACATTTTCGAATTTTCTTGAATTTTGAATTTATAAACTTTAAAATTTTTAAATTTGGGGATTTTAAATTTCTCTGAATTTCTTCCTGAATTTTCAAACTTTTTGAATATTTTGAAACCCAATTTCCAAATCACAAATCCGATTTTTTTCAGGCAAAAGTTTATCATTATTTAAAAAAAGAAGAAAACTCTGAAATATTCAATTTCATAATCTTGAAATTAAACTTTTTTTTCAAATTTCGACATCTTAAATTACATATCCATCCTTCAAATAGTGGTCTAGAACAATAAGTCAGGCAAGAATTCAAAAAATTCAAGATCTAGAAAATGTTTTTGAATTAGATCATCAAAATCCAAAAATTATCCACTATCAGTTTTGGCGGGAATTCAAAACAAATTTTCAAAACTTTCATCATAACTTCTAGAAGCTTGTTCTGTTTCAAGGTTTTCATAACTGTATATTCTCTGCGTCTCCTCTCCCTTCCTCCATTCAAATTCAAATTTCCCTCTTCTTCTGCCCCTTCATATATTGTGTATTGTCTCTTCTCATTACCCCTCCTTCAAATACCCATTACCAGAGCCGCATTGTCCTTGAGTCCGAAAAACCATAAAAAATTTGTGTTGCCTCTGTCTCTGTTCATTTTTGTTCCTTTCCTCTCTAGTTCAAGGACAAGAAAGTTCAAATTTTGGAAACTTTTGGGCTTCGAATATTCAGTTCTGGCAGGAGTTCAATTTTTTCATAAATTGGGTATTTTTCATTTCAACACAGCAGGGTTCAATCAAGGTGTCCCCCTTGTTCTCTTGGTTTCTCTAAATATCTGCTCTTTCTTTCTCTTTTCAATCAAAAATCCTTCCGATCAGATGAACTCTCTTCAAAATGTGTAAAGAAAAGTGTGGCAGCAATATCTCTCCCCCTACCAATCAGTGATAAACTGACACCAACTAGATTGATATGATGACCCAAGGGGAACCAGGTTGAGCTCAGTGCAAACAACATGCGCATAGCGTACTACTCGAACTTATCAGTAAACTTGATTATTGATCGGAGGGCATGAATCATGCCTTCTCTTCTAGAGAATTCCTTTCAAATTTGCCTTTACCACAATTGGCGCCCCGACGAGAGAGTGTGCTGATTGAAGAGTGTCAGACAGCTCGACGGACGGTGGTTAACCGTTTATTGTGCTGTCCGTGAGAACTTGAAAAAGAGAGAAGAGAGAACAAACTTCCGCTCATTTTTGGTTTACTGTTTTGATTCTTTGTTTATTTCTGAACATAGCTTTTTTCGAAAATTGAAATCTCTAGATTTCAATTTTTCTATGTTCTTCAAAGTGTATTTCTAGAAGAATCTTAAATAAAATGTTCATTTTCCTGATGTGAGAGAAACCAAAAAAGTTTTGAAATCTTCTTCGGCACACCTACACCTGAACAAACAACACCATCATCACATTCCCATACCCTTTTTGGTCTGTTCGCCTTTTATTACTCATCGACCGTCGTTGTTATCAAACCGTTTTTTATTCGAAAGTGAAAAAGTGGGAATTTATTTTTTCTCACACTAAATTCCAGAATTTTCCTGGCTTTTTGGTCGTTTTGACTGCTTAAAGTCGGTTAAAAACAATTTTGTTTACATTCTGCTTTTCGCATTTACTTTTTCGGGTCATGTGATTGCTCAAAATTGCAAAAAAAATCTGATCAGATCAATCTGAAAAAAAATTAATGGCGTAAGATCGAATGTAAAGTCCGAAAGTTACAGACTACAGTAGTCAGAGGCAAAATTCAGATTTTTTCTCAATCTGAATCACAGTGTAAACAAATTTTACATACTTTTGAACGATTTCTATTAAATTTTTGAATGTTTTCTTATTTTTTTCAAAACCTAGAAACTTTTTTTTTAATGTGAAAAAAAGCAAAATCCATTTTTGCAATTGTCGTGAAATATAAGGTCATGTTCGCAAATGAGAAATTTACAGTAATCTCAGGCGGAAACTTGATTTTTAACCGAAAGACTTCTGTTTCAGGTCGATTTTAACCCATTTTTCCCTCGTTTGTCGATTTCTATTCAATTTTTGGCTATTTTTTAATTTTAAACCTAAAAATTGTTTACTTTTGTAAAAAGCTCTCTTTCAAAGAAAAAAGTGCAATTGTCGTAAAATTCGATGTTATATCCGCAAGCGGTAAATCTACAGTAATTCCTTGATTTTTAATTGAAAAAATTACGGTTTCATGTCGTTTTTCATCCATTTGCTTTTCAATTTCTCGCTATTTTTCAGTTTTAGACCTAAAAAATCGTTTACTTTTGTAAAAATCTCGTTTTTAAAAAAATTCGTTTTTCTGCAACTGTCGTGAAATATAATGTCATGTCTGCAAATGAGAAATCTACCGTAATTTCAGGCGGAAACTTGGTTTTTAATTGAAAATTACGGTTTCAGGCCATTTTTCATCGATTTCCATCCTTTTTTCCATTTTTTTTCTCAAAGAATCACCTATTTTTTTTCAGAATCACATGCGGTGAAATTGAATCGGAAGTCGCAGTAGTATCTAAAACACAGAAATGACGGTACCGCCGTTCGTAAAGTCTTGCACTGTCAAGCTTGTGCTTCCAGCGGCACTGTTATCAGGTTTGAAATTCAAGAAAACTACAAAAATTGAAGATTTTAAAAATTTCAGCTGCAATAATCCGTCCGAGTTTTCTATCCATCGGATATGTGGTCTTCGCGCTGCTCAGTGCCGTTCTGCCACCAGTTCGCAAAAGTTTAGCACTTCCCAGTGAGTCAATTTGTGTTTGAAATATGTGAAAAATAACCAATTTGAGATTCTGACAGTTTTTTATAGTTTCCAAGGTTTTAATGGGTTAGAACTTTTTCATTTTTGTTCATTTATTTTGCAAAAAATGTTGGCTGGGTTTCTCCTGTAAAATTATTAAAAGTTCGGCGCTATGTTGGTTGGGGGGGGGGGCACTCTTTTTTGACTTTTTTCGCATTTTCTGACTTGCCCATTAATTCTAAGCATGTTAGAAATATTTTTGAGGTGTCTGGACCTCTAGAAAGTATAAAATAATATAATAAAATACAAATTCCTGTTATTTGTTTCTTCATTTTAGGTTTAGGCTAAAACGCCTTGGCACTTGAAATATGAATATTTGGAACTTTTAAACCGATTCTCGGGTAAGTTTTTCGGAAATGAAGCATTCTCAATCAGCATTTTTTATGTGATTTGCATTTTTCACCTATTTTGGCTTTTGTGAGTTGGGGCACCCAAATTTTTTGAATTTGGCGCCAAAATGCGGGTGTCCCAGAGGAAGGGAAACAGGGTGTTTTTGCCTAAGCCTATAATTTTAAACAAAAACCAAACATTTTGAAAAAAAAATTTCAGCCAAAATGTGCGATTTTCACTGATTTTCGCCAATTTCAGTACTTTTCTGGCTGAAAATTTTTTTCAGATTTTTTCTTTTTTTTTTAATTACAGGCTTAGGCAAAAACTCCTTGTTTTCTTTCCACTGGGACATCCGAAAATGGCGCTAAATTCAAAAAATTTGGGTGCCCTCCCAACTACGCTAGCGCCGGCGTTTTAGCCTAAGCCTAAAATAAAGAAGCAAATAACATGAATTTGTATTTTATTATATTATTTTATACTTTCTAGAGGTCCAGACACCTCAAAAATATTTCTAACATGCTTAGAATTAATGCGCAAGTCAGAAAATGCCAAAAAATTCAAAAAAGAGTGGCCCCCAACCAACATAGCGCCAAAAATTCGTTCAAGAATCCCTAACTTTCTTCCAGAAGTAATCGGAACCTTCGTCACTATCAACTTCTTATTCTGCCTGGCGGTCGCATTAGGAATCGGATCTTATCAAATTTCTGAACAATTTGTGCACAAAAATGACCGAACCTACATCTGCAATCGATCCGATACCACTCTTTTCCGAAGCATCGGTCTCGTCCGTTTCCATCCAACTGGAACTTTCGATTCCACTCGTGCATTCCTTCCCGAAATCATTGCTCTCTCCGCTTCCCTTTTCACATTTATCCTCGTCATGTTTCTATCGCATCGAGATGAGCAATTGGATGTTGTTGGCGATGTGGTGACAGTTAGAAGTGAATCGTAAGTCGAGTTTTCCGTTTTTGGATCCGAAATTTCAACAAATTGTCATTTTTAAGGGGTCGCGAGCAACGTCGTCAGCGAAAAATGGCAGCTATCATGTGGAGTGCAATTGGAAATTCTCTACGGCGACTCACAAACTTTGTCCTTTTCCTCTTCACCGCATACGTCGGAATCGTCAAACCATCAGCCATCAACTTCACCTATTTCGTCGCATTTCTCTTCATTTCCACGTGGTGGGCCACCTACACTCCTCTACGACATGGAGTTTACAATCAGATCAAGAAATTCCTCATCTTCTACTCTGCCATTCACTTTTTAGCCATTTACACCTATCAGATTCCGATTGTTCATAATGATTGGCTTCCGACTGGATCCTTCATCTCCCGTCTGTTTGGTCTCACGACTCTTATGGATTCGACATGTCCAGACTGGTGGAAGTTCCCGTTTGTTCCTCCGGATTTCAACGATGACGATCTGATTATGAAGTGGCCGGTGTATGCGAACCCAATGTCGTTTTGGTAAGATTTTAGACCTCCATTTGTGAAAAATGAGTAAGAAATGGCTGAAAATTACCAATTTGAGACATAACTTCTGAGCCATTCTTGGCAGAAAATAATCGGAAATTGTCAAAAATTAACCGAAATTCCTCTGAAAGCAGTGTGCTGTGAAATTTTGAATTGCTTTATTTTGTGCAGAAACCCATAAAGATTCACATAAAAACGAAGAAAAAATTCAAAAAAGTGTCCTTCATTGAGATAAAACGTAGTGAAAAACGAAGCTGGCTAGCTTGAATTCTCCAGTTCCCCCGCTTAGTTTTCAGACCTTTTTAGGTTTTTTAGCAATGCTCAAAAGTTTCTTTCATTTTCCAAGTTTTTGTCTGCAATTAGACAGGACGGTGTTCTCGAAGATTACTGGGGATTACTGTAAAATCTATTTTTCCTGTTTTTTTGTAGTTTTTTTACAAACACAATCACACCAAAATGCAGAAAAAAAACTACAGGAAAGGGAAATTAGCTTCTACAGTAGTCTACAGTAATCTTTAGGAATAAATTTTCACCCGTCAATTTTCACAAAAAATACAAGGAAAAACGGAGCAGGATCTTCAAAATAGCTGAAAAAAACATTGTCCCCTTGATTTTTTATCTTTCAGTGTTTTTTTTTGGCTTTTAAAAACATTTTTTTCAGATTTTTCAAGATATTCCATAATGCAATAAATTGAAAAAAAACTATCCAAAAAAGCAATTTTCAGATATTCTACTACATAACTGTCGCCCAGTACAAATTCACTCGAAACGGATCTCGCCAGTACATTGATGACAACGATTATGGGTCATCAGTACATGAAGAAGTTAGTGGTTTCCCTGAATTCTTTCTCTTCGTGTCGCCTCTCTATCGCCTTCCTTTTCTCATCTAATCATCTTGTCCCATCGTCCTTCCTCTCATCCTAATGGGCGATGGTAACAGTAGGCACGAATGCTCTTAAAAATAGAAAATAGATTAGAATTTAAAAAAAACAATTTTATGTGGTTTTCTTTCTCGGTTCAGCGTTTTGTCTCCTCTTCCGGTACTGTCGAAACGAATGTGGACGACGGCATCGTCGGGCAGCTCATCTCGATTTCTGAGAGCTCTGCGGCTCCTTCAGGCAGAGGACGTGGCAATACTTTGGTGCGTGTGTAATTATGTAGGGATCTAATAGCAGCACTGATTCGTTTTGTTCATTGGCATGCCTCTAATTTTCCCTTTTATGTGTTGAAAAATATCAAAATTCCTAAGTTTATGTACCGTATTCAAGCCCAAAAAGACTTCAACTTTGAGCTCAATTATCTCGGTTCCTATAAGAGATATCAAAAAACTTTCAACTGATAAATTTTTTATCATAATATCACCTATATTTTATCAGTTGACAGATTTTTGATATCTTTCATAGGGACCGAGATAATTGATATCAAATTTCATGTATACAGTGGACTTCAGAGTGCTACGGTATGTGAAAACGAAGAACAGTGGTTCCGTTTTTGAGTTTTGTCTCACCCATTCCGACATTTTGATCTCAATTCTATTGATTTTTGGAAAATTAAATCAGTTGATAATTTTTAGACATCTCTCCCGAAAATTGAGAAATCTGAGATTCAATTTAAGATATTGGACTATGCCAACATCTAGCTCTAATTTAGTTAGTCTGAAATCTAAGCTTTTTCAGCCTTCCCCTGACGAATCTAACGTTACGGTAGGTTTTCTATGTTGTTAAGTGATTCGTTATCAACCAACCCAAACCTCCTCCTCCTTGTCCTTTCTCTCCTTTCCGCTTCTTTCCCTGCTTTTCCACCTCTTCTAACCCCAAGTTGGGACCAAAACCCTCTTTCTCACTCCCATGAGTTCCAGCTACTATCCGATGCCTCCTCTCAAAACGAAGATGAGGCCCGATCGCGTTCTCCACAACGAAACGGCGAGGGACAGAACTCCATTCCACTCAGAAAAGTGACATCTCAAGTGGTGGATCGTAACAAGCTGAGCAATATTTTCAATAGTAAGTTCACCAAAATAAAACTGAGCAATGCCTCACAAGATTCAGAACCTGGAGAACAAGAATCGGCAGCGTCAAAGGGAATGATAGCAGTGATGACGTTTGTGATCTTTCATGCCTACTCCATTGCTCTGGCTGCCATGATGACATGGGCTCTTCTCTATCACTCGATCTTCGGATTAGTCCTTCTGATTCTCACCTGCATCCTGTGGATCTTCCGGGACACTCGAAAGTCCTCCTTCACCATGGCTCCACTCATCCTGATCTACTGTGAATTCCTCCTTGTTCTTCAATACTTCCTAAGTATGGATATTCATCAAGAGATCGGAGATCCAGCGTGGATGGATTTCGTTGGGATTAAATGGGCCACAATTCCAGTGCATGCACTCATCATTCTATCTGTACAGGTGTGTATTTCTTTTTTTTTGCACCTCAAAAAACCAAAGGACGGCTCCCCTTGCATTTTTTGCTCAGCATATGATGTGTATATCAGGTTACCAGGGAGCAGTCCTTGTCACCTATGACTCGCCGGAGCATTTTGAATTGAAAATCTTTTAAAAAACGAGCGAAAACCCCCGAAATATTTGCGAATAAACGAATAAACGAATGCTATTTGTAACGCAGCTATATTTCTATGGACTTGTCATTTTTCCAGTGAGTGTCCGAAATCGTCTGTAAATCTCGTTTTCTTAAAATTCGGAATTTTCTAGGCAGGCCCCGAAACGAGACTCATATATGCAATATAGAAAACATCGCTTCTCGTCCATTTTTGTAAACTTCTGAAATGTTCGCGAATGTTTTTTTGAATTTCCGCCAAAACTGAAAACTCCTGAAACTCTGAAAAATTGGCGATTTTTTCGAGAGAAAAATTTGTTTTTTCTTCAATTTTTCGCAAAACTTTTAGACCTTTTTTAGGTATTTCAGATTTTCTTTCTCGATTTTTCCGGTTTATTTGTCTGAAATTTGATGGAACGGTGTTCGCGAAGATTACTGTAGGTTACTGTAGAAAACGAATTTCCTTTTGTAGTTTTTTTTGCAAAGTTTTTATCTGCATGTTGACGTGATTGTATCTTGCCAAAAAAACTACAAAAGGAAATGAGTTTTTTATAGCAACCTACAGTAATCTTCATGAATACCGTTACATCAAATTTCAGACAAAAAAAGCGGAAAATCTAAAAATAGTTTTTGAAAATAGTTAAAAACCTAAAATGGTCTAAAAATGTTGCAAAAAAATGAAGGAAAAATTAATTTTATTTCGAAAAATCCTCAATTTTTCAAAGTTTTTTTTTGGCGGAAAATAAAAAAAAAGTTCCAGAACCTTCTAGAAGTTTCCAGAAATGGATTTTTCGCGTTTTGAAGTGATTTTCCGATTAAACCTATCGAACTTCTGAATCCCATTCCGAAAGTCCCTGAAATCCCTATTTTTCCAGACCCTTCTCAGCTTGCCGGTCTTCCTGCTCCTCCGACTGGCTCGTCGTGAAAAGTACTACGAATCGTTGACAGATTTTGAACGACAGCGAAGAATCAACTCGTATGGAACGTTTGGAGCATCGAAGACTGGAGCCGGTGGTGTTGCAGTGGCTAAGGTACGGTGTTTTTTGGTCATTAATGCGAAAATATTTACCACTAAAATGATGTCTACATTGCCTCCGAAACTTTTACGAATGCTCAAAAAAGGAGGAAAAATGTTCCGCTCCTCTCTTTTTGTTGCCCAACAACGACAAAAACAACAATAGTAAAAAGAGGAGCGAAAGCGATGCCTCCTTCCCCTTTTTTGTTTGAGAAGCATCCCTCAGCAGCTGTCCACGCAAAACTGTTCGCCTGCTGCCCCCCTCTATATTTCATGATTCTTTTTTCCTGAATCGACGGATCGATACTGAAATATGATTCTAGAATTATCTGAATTGGGAGACAAGAAAGACCCAGAAGAGGAGGAGGATGAGGAAGTGGTAAGAAGAAAAAAAGCGAACATATAACCCAAGAATTCTCTCCCCCATTTATCATTTTTGCTTTTTTCGACCCCATGGGAGTCGTGTCGTTTTTATGTTGATTTGTCTGTCTTTTTTGCATTCTTTCTTGTCAGAAAAAAGATAGAACCTCTCTGAAAATATGGCCCCTCAAAAAATGTTGAAAAGTCTAGTCAACTCTTTATTCGGAGATATGAAGTTTCCGCGACTTTCTCTGAGTCAAATTCCTCATCATGTTATCACCGTTTCTATAAGCAATGGAAAATGTATTCGAATTCATGATACGCTAGCGAAGAACTCGTTGAATTTGTATTATGAGAAGGTAACATTTGTTCATAAAATAGAGAAAACGCAATTCGAGCCCCTATATTTGGAAGTTTCCACTGCCAGTCTTACGAGCCGGGTTCGATTCCACACTATGTGTTTAAAATTAGCCTAGAAATGGTCCAAACAAAAATGGAAAAGTTTTGCCATCAAGTGGAATCGAACCCGGGTCGTCAGATTGGGAGTGGAAATATCAATATTACCACTGAGCCATTCGAACATTTTCGGTAAAACCCGCTTAAAATGTGTTTTTTGGCCCGTTTAAGCCCAATTCGACACTAATAATACTCTATTCCAGAGTCTAGAACTGGAATTTTGAACAAAATCAGAAGACAAAAGATGTATTTAGAACATTTCAATTTTGAATTGAAATCGATTCCTTCTAATCTCTCAAAGTTTCAGGATCCGAAAAGTCGAAAATTCGCTGCCTTCGTGGAATATCTCTCGAACAAAGTCTCCATCTACTTCATATTCCTCGTCTCCTTTGTACTGCTTATGGTAGCCACCCACTTCAAACCCAATCTCTACAACATTTTCTTCTTCGCACTATGGGCATTGAACTTGATTTATCTCAAAGTAAGTTACGGTAACATAGATGAGAGGATTTGGGATATTTGACAATAATGTAATCGGTTCCCTAAAAACATCATTTTGCGAGCTAAACTACCAAAAAAAACCGATTTTCCCGACCTCAAAAAATCCTAAAATCCTCAATTTACGCAGAAATCACACATTTATGAAGTTATCGGTTATGGTTTGATGACTCACTCAAAAAGCAAAAAGAACAAGTTGCAAAACTTAGATTTCCTGTATGTTTGCATGTGTTTTCAACAGACTCCCCGTTTTTCATTGGGGAAAAAAGACGAAATGGAGAGCAAATAGAGGAGGAAATAGAGCAAAAGGTTTGGCACCCGATCTAGTCTGACTCATTTTTATTTAGAAAAATCAGTTTTTACAGTAGCAAAGGTGTTCGAATGGTCTTTCGAGATGCAGAAATTCAAAAAGTAGAAAAAATCTGAAAATTTAAGTTTCAAAATTTTCGAGATGAACGCTGATTTTCAACATGTTAAACCTGAAAATTAGTATTCTGATTTTCAAAACTAGGTGTTAGCAGTGGAACATTCTTCGAAAGCTTTCGAAAATTTCAATTTTTTAAATTGAAAATCTAGTTTTTGAAAGTTCGAATTTACAATTTTCAAAAATTTGACCTGAAATTTGCAAAGTTTTATTGAGTTCTGGAATATCGAAATTTTTGAAGTTCAGTTTTTTTCCATTTGAGACTTCGAGTGTTCTGAATTCTGCATTTCTTGACTTTAAGAATTTGATACTTCTAGGTTTTGATATTCTGAAAATATGAAGTTCTCATTATTTCGATCATTCTGCTTTGAAATATGGGATCTCTAGAATCGGAAGCTATGAAATTTCGAAACATTCATTTTCAAATTGATACAAATTTACCCTTCTTCGCATTACCCGAAATTTCCTCTTCTACAGTAACCCAAACATCACATGCTTTTTAAAAATTTTCACGAAAACAATCAAACAAAACTTTTCTCGAACACCTAAAAGAAGCCTCTCTTTGCTCCCTTTCTCAGCTTTTCAATAAACCAAAAAAAGAGAGTGGAACATCACTTTTTGTCTGTAAATAAACAACAAAAAACGGTTATAAAACATAAACTACCTGTCTGATTATTGTGTTATTACGTATAGACTGTTTTTATAGTACTCCTCACCCGTTTATTTTTTTTTGCGCAGCAGAAAAATTATAACTTTCATTTTTTGTGTCTAATAGAAAATACCGGTTCTCTCATGAAATGTACCTCTTTGTGTTCAACCTCAAGATTGAGTTCCGTTTTTTTTCCAAATTTTCCTCTAATTTCAGTTCTCGTTCCGGTTGTACCGTGGATTGGCATACGCCTTCTGGCTAACACTCACCTTCTATACATCGATTGTGATCATCGCACTCTACATCTATCAGTTCCCAGGAGTGAGTTTTTTATTGAAATTGAAAAGATGGAATCGTAAATTCTAAGAAAATTGGATTTTTTCGAGAATTCTGTACATGGAAAAAGACCTTTCCAAACCTCTTCAACTTCTGAATCAGAAGTATTCTGATTAGAACAATTAACACCTTCTCTCAAGGTTTTCTTTTTTTAGTTACTAGAGAATCAATTTTAGCTTCTAAAAAGAATCATAAAAATAGTATTCTCTTCAGTATGGTCTCCATTCAAAAAGACAAACTATGCGTAACAAAAATGTACTTATATTCTCAAAGATTATAACATAAAACATCCCCCACCCGATTTGATTCTTTTCATTTTTCTGACCTTGAATATAGTGTTTCATAGTCATAGCTAGGTATCTATAAACTGAATTCCAAAGTAGCTATATTTTGCTTCCAAATTTGAGGCTATTTTTGAAATTTCGATCTAAAAAATAACTGCGTTTGTCTTCCAAAACGCTGAAAATGGTCCAAAAAATTTATAATTTTTATAAATTTTTATAAAAAATGAACTAAATTAGGCCTAAAATCCAAAAAACAATCGTCAATATTTTGTCCAAAAATTGCTCATTTTAAGATAAAATTTTCTACATTTCTAGCCTGAAAATTGAATTTTCAATCAAACTCGTTTAAAAATCGCTCAAAAAACATAAAAACCGGTCCGTAGGTTTCAAATGACCCAAAATTCGTTAAAAATAGACCCAAAATGAATAAGTTAGCATTTTCAGCTCATATTATATTATCATCGAGTTTTGTTTCTATAAAAATATCATTTGTCGACCTGAATTATAAAAAAAAACCAAAAAGTCTTGATCTCAAAAAATCAAATTTTCTCAAATAGGAGGGCTCCACCATAACCGGAAACTTTGAGCTCATTTATCTCGTTTTCTGTAAAATGTATCAAAATTTTGTCAACTGATAAAATATTGGTGATATTATGATAAATAATTTATCAGTTGAAAATAGTTTGATATCTTTCATAGGAATCGAGATAATTGCGCTTTAACTTGATGGTTCGGATGGGCTTTAATTAGAGAATATATGGTAGTCACTCATGTATGATCTTTTTCTTGAATTTTTCCATCAGAAAATCAACTATTTTCCAGGTATCTCAATGGATTATTGAAAAAACGAGTCTGTCGAAAAAGTGGCTTGATGCGATCGGACTTGTCGACTACTCAGCGATTGGAGAATCTGGGTGAGAGTTTTTGTTCGGATTTCAAAATATCCGAATTTTTTTCCCGAAAATTTCGAGTACAAGTAAAAGCCTGAAAAACAGCAGAATTCAGAAGATTAAACGATGTTCTTGGTTCCAGAAGTTTGAAATCCACAAATCTCATTTCAGCGCCCTATTCCTACAACTATTCGCGCCAATCGCCCTGTTCGTCGTCACAATGCTTCAACTCAAATTCTTCCACGAACCATGGAGCCGTGCGACGTCTCCAAGACGCGCAGAAGACAATCCACCAACCGAGTCGGCAGTGGCGTCAACTTCAGAATCAGGAAGAGCCGATGCAGGACGTTAGTTTCAATTTTTTTTGATTTTGAGGGAATGCAGAAGACCACCTAGAACTTTGAGCCAATATATCTCGGTTCCTGTGACAGATATTGAAAATTTGTCAACTGAGAAATTGCTTAACACAATAGCAGCAGTATTTTATCAGTTGACAAAATTCCTATATCTTTCACAGGAATCGAGATAATTGAGCTCAAACTAGACAGTGTGGGTGACCTGCTGTTGTTTGAAAAAAGGGAAATTCACACTTTCCTCGTTCTTCGAGGTCATCGCAAAAACCGTATCGCGCATTATCTCATAGTCTAATCGAAGAAAAAAAATCTCACTTTCTCTTTAAAGAAAAAGTTTCCTTGTTTATATAACCAAAGTAGTCAAGTGACGTATTGATTAGTCGTTAACTGGTTTCCTTCCCACTATTTTCAGCCAGAGGAAATCCATTACTTCTAAAAATGTTTCCTCGTTTTGTTTTGTTATTTTCAGTCTTCTCCTTCTTGTTTTGTTTCTTAATTAAAAGCAGAAAACGACGGAAATCTATTTTTCCCCTCCTTCTCCGTTCAACGTCTTCTTCTTCTTCTTCTTTGGTTTCAACGTCAACGTCATTAACCTGAATTTAAAATGATAAGGATTCCGACTTGGCACTGTTCCAAGTCGTAATCCTTTGACGTCCGTCTGAATCCATCAATCGATGATCCAAAACAAGTGACAGCTTCATGCCGCTTCCTCTCCTCGATTTCCATAATCTCTCGTTTCCTCCGCTTCTATTACTTTTCATCTCGTCATGGAGACAAATCGGATATCGGCCAAAACGAAAAAGAATAAGAATATGTACTGTTCTTCTCTTTTCCCTATCTCTCTTTGGTTATCACTTTTAATCTACATGTTTCGCTTGATTCCCACGATTGTCGATACTTGTCTTTTTGGCTTTTTGTGGTTGGCTTTTTTAGAAGCCATTGACAAACTTGATAATGGGCATAGCCACAGATTCTTTTAGGATTAGAAATTTCAGACCAACTGAATTGGATATGATAGAAGAACTCAAGAACTACACAATGATACCGTTTTGAAAATTGTACCTTGTGTATGAGAAAAGTTACGATCCATAGAACTTGGACCGCGTCACTCAGGTGGTTTTTGGCTTGTAAATTTGTTCATAGACAATATACAGTTTTCCAATTAATATCATTTTGTAGAACTTGCCCAGTTTTATCATATCTATTTCAGTGGATCAGAAAATATTGATTCTAAAAGAAGCTATGGCAGTGGTTGTTTAGGACCCGTTTGGACTCATTTTTGACAACTTTTGACCGTTTGAATTATTCAAACATTCAAGTTTAAGCTTTTCACTTTTTTCTCATTCTTTGTTCGTTCCATATGTGAATCATCATCATACACTTTGTTTCTCCCCTCTCTTCTATTCATTTTCCCATTTTTTGCTATCCGTTCCAACACACTTTTAGTACTTCTCCACCTGCCCTTTCTTCTTCTTGAAAAATCTGCTCAAATATGAATAGAACGCTCTTTTCCTTCATATACACCCACGGTGGGTGACCCACACCGAAAAACACCGAAACCCCCAAACAACGATTATAGGTCACAAAAATTGGCTCAAATCTAAACATTTCTCGCTCGGTCTCTTCTCCTTCTTGGCCTGTTTAGTTCAGGATGCGAGGCGATTTGTTTTTGAGCAAAATGATAGTTGTGTTGTGTCTACGTCTCTCCTTCTTCGATACTCTCTCGTTGACGTCATTCAAAACTTTCCCAACCTATCTCAGGTTATTGTTATTCTTTTAGAGTTGTTTCCTGTCTTCTACGAAGGATTTTCGGATTCATTTTTCTACATTTTGAATGTCTGGATTCTGAAACTTTAGATTCCTCTCCTTCAGAATTTTTCCAGAACTTGGGAACTGATTTAGATTTTAGATTCTGAAATTTAAAAAACTCTGGAGACTGAAGTTTTAGATTCTTAGATTCTTCAGAGTCCCTCAAATTCCTTCCTACTGTACCCTGACTCCATATATTCAATTTTTCCCAGAGTCAAAATGAGTCAATGTTTGTGTTGTTTCTTTCGTCTGCTGCCTTGTTTCCTTGTTCTCACCGTTTGCTGCTTTCCGCCATTATTGCTCTTCTCGGGGGGAAACTCCCTAATCCCGATTTGTGAACAAGTGGAAAGGAAGCACACAGAACACAATTCAGACAGTGAAATAGGTTTTTTTTTTTAATTTCGAAAGAAAGCACTTGAACTTTTTGGAGCCCAGACATCATATTTTGACGAAATTAGATGTTTAGCAATGAGTCAGAATGATAAGGAGTGTTAGAAAATCCAGGTTTCTAGAATCTAGGTTATTTAGAAAAATGGAAATCTGAAAATCCAGAAACCCTAAAATGGAATTACTGTACTTCTCTCTATTAGAAGCCCGCCCAAATCGTCAACTTTGAGCTCAATTATCTTGATTTATGTGAAAGATATAAAGAAGATGTCAACTAATAAACTGATTACCGTAATATCGAAAATATTTTATCATTTGATACATTCTCATACATTCTCGATATCTCTCAAAAGAATCGAGATAATTGAGCTCAAAGTTTGCGGTTTTGATGGGAGAGAAATACGGTATTCAGAAAAATGGAATTTTCGAAATCTGAAAATTTGGAAACCCTAACTCATTTTTGAAAATCAAAATTTCGAATTTTTCAAATTTTTCGTGAAGTTCTGAGTTTTCTGGATTTTTCTGGATCTGAATTATAGATTTCTCAACAGTTCGATTCTTTAGGAATTTCTGTTTGATTCTGAATTATTCGAATTTTTGAGGTTCCTGACTGTCGGCATTTTCGAAATTGAATTTCCGATTTTTTGAAGAAAAATTTCAGCATGAAAAAGCTCCAAATTGTTTTTTCTTCTAATTTTATTTTGCATTCCGAGTCCCTCATTCTTATCATTTCTCTACCTTTTCACTGTAAATAATAGCAACAAATGACCCCTCCTCTCGTTTCGGTTTTTGTTTCTCCTCAATTCCTCTCCACTCGCTTTCGTAATCAGAAAAATCCTCTGCGGACCTGCATGATAAATGCAACTCTTCTTGTCTTCATCTTCTCGGTGCATCTGTTTTTCTGTTGTTGATGATAAGATGATGGCCACACACTGCTCCTCTGATATCATTAGTCAAATCGGAGAGAGAATAGGAGACGCGGAGAGATGAAGAAAAGTACAGAGATTTCGAGCCTCCTCGATGATTCATGGATGTGTTGTACAACCAAAAAATAAGAGAATCTTTTTGAACACCGCGAAAAGTATAGGGTACTTTTTTGGGGAAGACATGACATCTTGATAAATTGCACGTTTTTGGAGGAGACAGGGGGATTAGAGAGCAGGAATCACAGGGTGGGAAACATGGAGAAATGAGTTTTTGAGACACCTAGGGTCCAAAAATAGAAAACAAAGAAATTTAATGAACCAAAAAATGATACCGCATATGCTCTAAAAGAGGATCACATAAAACGTCAATTTCGAGCTCAATTATCTCGGTTCCTATGAAAGATATCGAAAATGTGTCAACTGATAAATTGTTTATCATAATATCAGATGTATTTTGTCAGTTGACGGATTTTCGATATCTTTCACAGGAACCGAGATAATTGACCTTAAAGTTGACGCTTGGCCTCCTATTAGAGTAAATACAGTAGTTCCAACGTGTTTAGAAATTTAGAGGTCTTTGAAAAATTTTGATTTTTTAGCTACAATGGGATAGCCAAGCTAAGAGAGCACCCGAAACAACATAAAAACCACCAATCCAATTGAATGAGTACATTTCGTCATGCTCCTCTTCCACACTCAGGTTGTATCTGACAGAAAAAATAGATCAAGAACCGATAAATTTGAACTCTCAGCTCTCTTTCTCCGTGTAGCTCCTCCTGTCTGTGGGACCCGCCTCTTCGTCTCTAATCCTCTGCTCTCTGTGTTGTGAAAAAATAGAGGCCCCACCCTCCTCAAGCCACTTGAGCCTTCTTCTTTTTCTACCAAAAACCATGAGAAGGTACTAAGCTATTTATACCATTCCTTCTGAATCTGGAGATCCTAAAAGTCCGTCAAAATGGTGTACGGAGAATTTGTTCACATTCTCGACTACTACTTTCGCCAGCTACGCGAATATTCTCGACAGGCTCAAATCGAACGCCACGCGGATCCTGAGAGAAGGCGAAGTAGTTGGTCACCGAGGCAATGGTTCGGTGTAAAGCATCCCCCAGATGACGTTCTAAGACTTCCTATCCATTTCGATGATTGCCTCCCCTCTACCTCTTCCAATCCCCCACCCTCCTCCTCTCATATTCATAACTATCCGGATACCACTCTCTCTTCCTCCTCCGGTGCTCCATCTAACTATTTGAGCACTTCCACCTATTCGGACCATCGACGTTCGTTGTACAAAGTAGACGTCGAGAAGTACTGGGAGCAGTTGCTCCTGCATAAACTTCTCCCGTCGCCAGCAGACCGTAATATGCTAACAAAGTCAATAGTGAGTAGTAGTGGAGATTCGGGAATTTCTGGAGACTACGGTGGTGCTGGCATGATGCCTTATATCGATGATGACGATGATTTAACCCCTATTATTGTGGCACGACCCCCAATTGGATCTGGATACTCGCATGGAAGAAATGGTTGGCACAGATCGCCAAGGCAGTATATCACTAATTGGTGGAGTGAGTTGTCCTATGCTAATGATCTCTATCTATTTGTTGGGATTTTTAGTATTTTTTTACACAAAGTGCATCATAAAACAAAACACTTTCTGTCATCTTTTCGTGTCATCTTTTTTTTTCTCCGTTTCAAACAAGAGGGTCCAGAAAAAAATACGCATAAAATTGTTTCCTGCTCCTCACCTTTTTTTCTTACCACGAATATTTTATGACGGAAATGTAGAGACAATAGTCTTCGAGCGCAGCGAAAATTGTAAAAATTCGAAATTTTGGAAAAAAAAATTAAATCTTTTCCAAGGAATCCGAAAATTGCAAAAATCGACTTTTTCCGAAAATTTATTTTAAAAATCGAAAAATTTCAATTTTTTACGAATCCAAAAATTGCTGAAAATCGAATATTTTTCAAAAGATCAAAAAATTGCCAAAAATTCGAAAAATCCAAATTCTGGAAAAAATTGCGAAAAATCGAAAATATGCAAAAATTCTAAAAATTGCAAAAAATCCAAATTCTGGAAACAAAAATCTTGGAATTGCAAGAAATTCAAAGTTTTGCAAAAATTGCAAAAAATCGAATTTTTGGAAGAAAAAAGTTTAACATTTCTAAAAAATAGAAAAATTCCAATAATCAAAATTTGGAAAAATCTCAAAGTTTAAAAATTCCAAAATGCCAATCATCAATCTCACTTTTTTCTGACAAAACAAATAATTTTTTCTCACTTTTTATCACCCAATTTATCTGAGGTCCCCTTCTCATTGAATTTTATCAAAAACAATGCTCTTTGAGCTCCTCAAAATAACAACAAGAAGAGAAACGGCAACAGCAGCTGGTGCCAAAAATTCTCTTCACAGCTGATAACAATTTTACTGCTGCCGTTCCCTTGAAAATAGCTGAGAGAATTAGCTCAAATTTTTCTCTTTTTCAACTCTAACCGCAGACAAAGTGATGTTAAAAATGATAAGAAGGTGACAACTACATGACAAGTGATAGGGGATTTTGTAGTACTTTTTGAACTATATAAACGGCTTTCAGTGTTTGTTTTCAGCTATAATTAAATATTTAATGACCCATATTTATAGCAATTCTAATCTTTGAGACGCGCACCGCGATCTTTGAGTTTATTGTTACCACCCTCCCCTATAGAATAAATTAGCAGAAGAATGAAAAATAGCAAGAAAAAGTTGTCTACCCATCAATTCTATAGAAATCATTGGTCAAGAATCCCAAGAGACCATCGGGGAGAGAGGAAAGTGTGAATTGTCCTAAAATTGATAAATGGGTTCTTCTTCAAAGCGGAATTTGCAGGCGATACACTTGTCAAGAAGCTCCACACCCTTGCCAATCAGACAATCGAACTATTATGGAGGTTCTTCGAAGTGCACATCTCGAAAATCGTATTTATCATTATTGGATTTTTTATCGCGTGTAATGTAAGAACTATCTAGATTTTTCAGATTAGAAAACGGGCTAGTCACTTTTAGGATCAATATTTCTGGACCAACTAAATCAGATATGATAGAACTCGACGAGTACTACAAATCGATTCTATATGGATTACCGTATTTTATCTATGAGCAATGCTATAAGCCATAAAGCTGTGACTGCGTAGGTCAAACGGTTTTTGGCTTATAACTTTGTTTATGGAGAAAGATACAGTATTCCAAATAGTATCATTTTGTCCAGCTACACAGAACTTATTTTCAGATTAATGCAATCTACATTCCACTAGTTATCCTCCTCTCGCTAGCAATTTGTCTTCCATCAGCAGCCGATGGAATCTTTTCCCTATTCATGTGTGCATATCTATTCCTAGTGGCACTTAGCAAGATGATCTACCAGCTCGACGTGGTTCCCGAACTTTCGAAAATCGACAGAGGAATTGGTGCGGAAAACTGTACCTTTAGTAACAAATCAATGGCCGATTGGTTTGGACTGAGAAAGGAGGGGCATAGTGAACCGATCTACATGCTTTTCGGTGTCATTTGCTCTATTATCGCGTTGGCATTCCAATCAATCGTCGTCTACAGACAACGACATCATCGAACGGCATTGGGACTTCCAGAATCGCTACGTGGCAAAGTGTTTCCAGATTTTTATCCTCAACACTATGATCGATCTTTGCGACATGCTATCATGTTCCTAGTGGACTATGGATTCTATAAATTCGGGTTTGAGATCACTCTCATTGCAATGTCAATTGATGTATGGGTTAGAATGGACGCACTGGCAGCTATTCAGTGTGTATGGATAATGTTATTTGCGCTGAATAAGAGGTTTGTTTTTGAAAAAAAAACATATTTTGATGGAAAAACGACTTCCTCAAAAGTTTGAGTCAAAGTGTCTCATAAATTTCAAAATTTTCTTGTTTTTCAAAGTCTTCAAATTTCAGAGTATTCAACCGTCGAGTATGGATCTTCTATGTGATCTACATGTCGATTCTATACCCTCTCCAGTTCATTCTCTACGTTGGATTGCCACCAGACAGTTGTATCGAGTATCCATGGTACAATTGGCTCTCATCGTATCCAGAAGCTGTTAATCATAATCTTTTAATCATTCTGAATCTGCCAATTTACGGAGAAAAATGGAGAGAGGCATTACTCGTCTGGGACTTTTTCCTTCTTCTTTTGGCATCTTGCCAATTGGCAGTGTTCCGAAAAGAAGGAGAGGACAATGAGTCGATTTATTCCGATGGTCACTTTGTTATCAAGCATGAGAACCCACATCACGACTTCATAGATACGAAGAAGAGCTACGTAGACTACTTCAAATCGTTCATTTTCCATTATGGACACTGGATTACTTTGATGGCTACGCTGGCTGCTGGAATCGCTGGAACATCACTATTCGCTCTTGGATATATCATTTTCACACTGACAATGCTGTGGTCCGGAAACAATTTGTATGTGATGAATGCGCGGTTACGGTCGTTCGAACAGACTTTGAAACGATGGAATATTCTTCTCGGATACAATCTCCTAACGATTCTTTTGAAAGTTTGCGTTCAGGTAAGAAGATAATCAGGTCAGGCTCAAAAAAAAAGCAAAAATTTGCAGATATTGGGCTGTGTGTTTTTGCAATGGTTCAACAAAACCGGTGCTGCTGGAAAAACACTCTGCATTCTTCGTCAACTATTCAGCGTTTCGTGTGTAGTCGAGAAATGTACACTTATCCCAGGTCTTGATGATTTTTCAAAGCAATGCGAGGTGGATCAAAAAGAATCAAAGATTGGATACGATATCATTGCGTTGGCATTCATTATATTCCAGATTCGAATTTTGCACTCATGGTCAGAGAACATTAAAGTGTTTAGACTGAAAAAAAATTTTTCAGGTACTTCCAACACTGTATGGTCGAATATCGAAGTGAAGTGATTCTAGCCAATAGGTGAGTTCTTCTTTTTTCTTGCTCAAAACTTCTGTAAATCTCCCTACCCACTTCTTGATATTATTTGTTTTTATCTAACGTTATAGTGGTCCTAATGGAATGTCAAGGTGAGTTTTGTGATGTGTGGAAGAGTTCTATCCTTCCCCATTCGTTCAGAAATTTCTAAAAATTTTCTTTCTTATTTCTCTTTTCCCCCGGATTTTCCAGAACTTTTTCGGTTTGTGGGCGTGGGTTAGATGTTAATATTGCTGTAATAGAAGCTCCCAAACTTTAAGTCAATTTATCTCGGTTACTGGCAAAGATATCAAAGAGTTGTCAACTGATGAAATGCTAATCATAATATCAGTAGTGTTTTATCAGTTGACACATTTTCGATATCTTGCATGGGAATTGAGATACTCGAACCCAAACTTTACAGTTTGTGGGGCCCTTCTATTACAGGTTTTACGGTATCTTATTACTGATAATTCCCTCATCATCTAATTTTCTCGGGAACCCATGAATGTAATTTTTCAAAAAATAGGGATATTTTTCAGAGGAGCCGTTCTCAAAAATCAACTCATCGAAAAGGAGATGAAAGAGCAAAACGAGCAGCAGAAGGCGAAATTTATTGATATCCAGAGAAGGACCGAGGCGATTCGTGAGAGGTGGGATTGTTTGGAAAATTTGAAAAATTGATCATTTTGGAAACTCTGGAATTCTGAATTTTGAAAGTCTGAAGTTCAGGAAATCGGAATATCTGAAACGCTGAAATTCTTGATTTTTGAAAATTCGAAAGTGCGAATTTTCAGATATTCGAAATTCTTCATATCTGATATTCGGATATTTTGGAAATCTGAATTGTTAATTCTGAAGTTCTGAAGTGTTAAAAATCTGAAATCCTGAAACTCTGTAAATTTGAAAATTTTGGAATTTTGAAAGTATGAACTTCGAAAAAATTTCAAAATCTGAAATCATGAAAACCTGAAACTTGAATTTTGATTGGATTGATCATTTCGGTGCTTATCTCCTAATATCCATTAGTAAAATCAAATGGTGAACTTAAAAAAAATTGTTTCCGACCTCAAAAAATTACAAGAAGTTTGAAAATCTGTTTTCAAGATACCAAAAGCAAATCGAACGTGGATCGGCTGAACGAGATTTTGAACCGAAAACTTATGGACAAGGTATGTCTCTTTTTGAAAACGTTTTTAGTGGGAAATCAAAAGGTTCTAGGTTCTCTAATTTTTTGTGAATGTCTTCTAGTTATACTTCTAGTAGTTGTTTTTTGGTGGTTTCGGGTATAGATGTTGTGTAGTCCTTTCAGAGCTTCTTACTTCTATTTTCAGATTTTCATTTCAATTATCCTAATTCTAGTCCGAATCCTTACCCATTTTTGTCTGTCTTCATTCTACTTTGGGGCTCACTTTTTCATGTCTTTCATACTCTCTTCTACATTCTCCACAGAATCTATACGTCTCGACGAGGACGATCCGTTTCCTTACTATGATTTGCGTTTACAAGAATCATCTGATACGGGTTGGTTTGTTTCTCCCAGGGAGCTCCGAAAAACGCTTTGCTGCCGATTTTCCCCTTTGTCGCTGCTCATCTTATTCTCCCAGTTGTCTATTGTTGAGTTCTCTAAAAATAATAACTCAAGTTTTCCTTCGCTGCTTTTTTCTCTCATCATTTTCAGTTCTCTTTTTTCTTCCTTTTTTTCAGTTCAATTCCAACCAACCAACTCACAAAAATACCTGTAAAACCTGTATTAGAGGAGCCCTTCTAACACAGGTTGTATGGTAAAAACTGTTTGGTTTAGTTGCTCACTTACCAACCAACCTACAACTTGGAAATCAACAAATCACTAATCACTATTCTGGAATTTACAAGAGCATGATTATCTATAAAGCCTTCTTTTCCCTATTAACCTATTTCTATTTTCAGCTAAACGTGCCGGCGACTATTACATGTTCAAGTATGACCCGGAGAATGATGACCTTGTGGAACCAGTGGATAGTTTTGTACCCGAAATGGATCCCAAGGCAACAGCTTATGATAGATTGGATCCTGGACAGATAATGTATGCTGCCACTGCTCACGACCTGGATCTAGCTAAGACGGTACAACAAGTGAAAAAGGGAGACACAATCAAGGATGCTGATGACCGTGCCCTAACTGCAGTATCTGAACCAGAGCAACGAAAGAAAGGAGGAACAGATCAACCAGATGGAGACAACAAGCAAGACGATGAGGATAACAAGGATTCGAAGGTGGAATCCACTGCAAAATTCGTTCAGAAAATGATAGCATCTGCATTGGATTTGTGTAGTGTGACTCTCAACAAACTGTGCCGCGAACATCGTTACGTTGGTTTTGTGCTGAGCAAGGAGAAGCAGAAATTGAAGGCTGGACACTCGGAATCGCTCTCGAACACGTCTAGAAAACTCACTGAAATAAGAACGGATGTCGATCTTCCAAGTCTACAACTGGTACATTCTGAAAATGATGTTGAGAAAATGGAGAATGCGGTTAGCATCGACTGGCAGCAGAAATCATCAGCCACCCGACTACTGAACGCTGTTGTCAACTGTATTGGAGCCCATACTGATATTCTTTGCTACTTCTGTGCAATTATGACACAGGCGGTCACTGGTGGCCTCATCACTATGCCTCTTCCCCTGATGTCTTTGTTTTGGGGAAATCTATCGAATCCACGGCCATCGAAATTCTTCTGGGTCACGATGATCACCTACACTGAGATTGTTATCGTTGCCAAATTCATCTGCCAATTCCAATTCATGCCATTCAATTCGTCAACATGGGTTACGGAACATCAAATGAATCCAATGTCAATGGAGAAACTATTCGGAGTATCTCAAAAAACCAACTTCGCTGTGTGGGATATCATATTGTTATTCTCCCTTTTCTTCCATCGTTATATGCTCAGAAAGTTGGGCTTGTGGAAGGATGCGAATCTGACAGAGACGTTTGCCAAGGATGATACAACTGAGTCGAGATCGCCCGCAGGATCCGATGCTGGAACTCCGAGAAAGAAGAAGGCAGAGCCGAAGGTGGTGGTGACTCAAGCAGATCCACAGGAGGGAACCAGTGGAGGAGAGAGTGAGTTTTGATTAAGGTTTTGGAACATTTCCAAAGTATGAAATTGACCCGAAATCAACGTAATTAAGAAAAGTCAATTTCAAATGATTTCAAATTTCAAAATTCAAAAAGTCAATTTCATGTCAACCGGGCTGATCAGGGTTTACTATGGACCATTGCATAACTCGGCTCAAACTCCAACTTTTCTCAAATCAAAAATTTTAATGTAGAACAGAACGAGACCTACCAAATTATACTTCATTCGACTATATTCGATTTTCAAATTAGAAGCATTATTTGAGCCTAGCTATTTTACGCCTTCTGGGATGAAAATGTCAATTCAGAAGGCGCGAGATAGCCGGGCTCATTTGCTGCCTGAGGCAGGCTGCCTCTAATTTGAAAGCCAGTATTCAAAAATAGTCGAATTAGGTATTATTTTGATGGTCTCGTTCTGTTTTACATTATAATTTTTGATCTGAACGAAAATTCTAATTTTGGGCCGAATTATGCGACAGTCTGTCCATTTAAAATCAACTTTTCTGGAAACTTTCTGAATTTCGGACCGATTTTATGTAGACGGAAAAAATCCGTTATTTCGAAATCTCCTGGAGCCAATTTTAATACGGACACCAAAAAAAAGCGATTTTTCAGTTGTGATACCATCCGACCCGGACGCTGTTGTCTTGGAAGAAATCGTTGACAATATGGAAGGTAGTCCACCAGAAGCACCACGTGGACCAATCGGAAGATTCATCCACCAACTGTTCCATCCGAAATTCCGTTACATCCGTGACTTGTACCCCATTATGTTCGCAATTGATGTCGTATGCTTCCTGATCATGACATTCGGATACTCATCATTCGGAGAAGGAGGATCTGGAAATGTTCTTGATGACGTCAAAGCATCCAGAATTCCAGTCACTTTAGTTGTTATGCTCGTTGGAATGACTCTCGCCATCATTGTGGATCGTGCCCTCTATCTTCGAAAATCAGTTGTCGGAAAATTGATTTATCAATTCTTCATGATCGCTTTCCTTCACATCTGGATCTTCCTAGTTCTTCCGAATATGACCCGTCGATCTGCAGTCGCTAACAAAGTTGCTCAGGCATTGTATGTCATCAAGTCTTGCTATTTCTTGGTATCCGCTTGGCAAATCCGAAATGGTTACCCAGAATTGTGCATCGGAAATCTCCTGACCCATTCTTACGGAATGACCAATATGATTGCATTCAAAGTATTCATGAACATTCCATTCCTATTCGAACTTCGTACAGCAATCGATTGGACATGGACAGACACCTCAATGCCACTTTTCGATTTCTTCAACATGGAAAACTTCTACGCTCACATCTTCAACATCAAATGTGCTCGTCAATTCGAAGCCGCCTATCCGGCGCCACGTGGAATAGCCAAAGGAAAACTGGTGAAATATATGATGGGATTCCCAATTATCATTGGAGTCGTTGTCTTTATATTCTCGCCACTTCTTCTATGGTCTCTTCTCAACCAAATTGGAACGATCAGTATGCCAGAGAAGGTTAATTTGAAGATTTCCATCGAAGGATACCCACCACTTTACGAAATGGAAGCACAGGGAAGAAATCATGATAACAAGGAGCTCTCGTTGATAACACCTGGCCAGTTGGGTGAAATGAATAATGCATTGACGACGATGTATAAGCCAACAGAAGATGATTCAGTTACAAGATCCAGGCAATCGGTTTCATATTTGAAAGGATACACTTTCGAGGATATTCTCATTGTCAGATTCCGTCCGGAATCTGAAATCTACTGGCCGATTTCGCAGGATTCAAGAGATGCTATGATGTAGGTTTTTTTCCAATTTCAGAATTCCGGAAAATTCTGATTTTAAAAATTCCTGTATTCCGGAATTCTGGAAAAATCAATTTAAAAAATTTCGGGACTTTCGGAAAATTCCGTTTTTGAAAGTGTCCGGAATTCCAGAAAACTCTGATTTAAACATTTTTGGTATTCGGGAGTTCCGGAGTTTTCCAATTTTGAAAACTTCCGGAATTCCGGAAAACCGAATTTTAAAAATGTCGAATTTCCGGAATTTCCAAATATTCCGATTCCCAAATTTTCTTAATTCCGCTGCAGTTCTGAAATTTCCGGTTTTTAAGAATTACGGTTCTCCGGAATTCCGGAAATAATTATTTTCAAAAATGTTGGAATTCCGGAAATCCGAAAAGTTTCAATATTAAAAATTTACGGAATTTCGGGAAATTCTAGTTTTTAAACTTACGGAATTCCGGAATTTCGGAAAAATCACTTCAAAAAGTTTGGATTTCCAGAAAAATTAATTTTAATTTTCCGGATTTTTGTGTTCCGGATTTCCGAAACACTGAAATTGAACATCTCATCATTCTGTAAATCCGGAAAATCTTGATTTTTACAACTTCCGAATTCCGGCAAGTTTCGATTTCCAAAGTTTCGAATTATTCAGAATTCCGGAAATTCTGCTTTCCATAACTTCTGAATTCTCGAATTCCCAACATCAATTTTTTCAGTGACAAATTGAATTCCACCTCCACCTCTGTCAACTTCGAAGTGTCCCTCGAATTCACTCGTCCCTACGATCCAAACGAGAATACGGCCCTAAAACATTCCAAATCATGGCTTGTCCCAATCGATCAAGATGATAAAGTTCGTTCCGAAATTCGAGCAGCGCTCAGAGGAGAACCAGGCCACCCGATTCTGATTCGTGCTTCTATGCCAGCATTCATCCAAGTGCCGAATCAAGGAGAATTGATTCTTCCAACATCAATCGGAACTTCAATCACCAGGGATGGAAAAGTCACAGTGAATACAACGGGAATGACACCAACTCAAGTTTCACAAGCATGGTTTGATACATTGACACTGAAATTGGAGCAAGGAAATGGGATGAATGAGAAGATCTGGATAGCGTCGTCAGAGCATCCAGTACCATCTGACGTCTGGATTCCAAGTGAAAATACAACATACTCAAAACGGCCGTACCTTCAAACCGTTGGATTCATCGACAGAGCATTCCCATCTCTACTGGCGAAGGTGTTCAAAGGAGGAGTCATTGCAGTGTATCTTTCTGTCATTCTGGTCGTCGGAAGAGGTATCGTACGTGGTGTATTCACAACGTCTCCAAGTACGGTAATGTTCACGGAACTGCCGAATGCAGATCATCTTCTCAAGATTTGCCTCGATATTTATTTAGTGCGAGAAGCCAAGGATTTCATGTTGGAACAGGTAATTTTGATATTTCTGATTTTTTTAGATTTTCAAGAATCTCAAATGTTGATTTTTGAATTCGGAAAAAATTTGAAAATTTCTGATTTTTTCAGATTTTCAAAATTTTCAGTTTTTGAAATTTCCAATTCATAATTTCCACATTTCCAGGATCTCTTCGCCAAACTGATCTTCCTGTTCCGATCGCCAGCGACACTCATCGAATGGACACGAATGAGCAAGAAGAAACAAGAATAGGCTCATTTTCATCTATATTTATATTTATCAAGTTTTCCCTTTGTAAAACGAACGGTTTTCATTTTTATTCCCCTTTTTTTTCTTTTCTTCTCTATCTCAACCCCACAAAAAAACCAAAAAGTATTAAATTTTGTTCATTTTTTTCGTTTTTTTTTTCTCTGGTACCCTACGAGTTCTCTTTTTCCTGACTCATCTATATGGTCACACAAAATGTTTCAAAAAAAGTATATATTTTTATATTTTTTCGATGTATTGTTAGATTCTTTTCTCTCCCCTCCTGCTCTCCTCTTTCCTTTTTCGGGTTCTTCCTTCGTTTTCATTTCCATTTTTCCCTGTTTTTTTATTCTTGTTAACTTTTCCCCATTCTGTACTGTGACACACGACAAATATAATAAATGGTTGACTCTTTTTTATTTGAATTTCGCACCAAAATTCGCCTAAATTCCGACTGTTCGATAGGGCGCGTTTACCGTTTCTGACACAGACAATTGAGACCCCGGAATTTGCGGGGTCTCCAGACAATTTTTGGAATTTACATTTTTTAATCAGAATCACTTGAATAAACAAACATAATTTTTTTCTATTTGCCAACGACACGAAAAAAATCAATAATACACAGTCTTTCAATAGGGTATGCGTCCATCTGATGACGTCATCACTAACCGGCACATGGCAGAAGATTCTCTATCGGAAACAGGCGTTTCCAGACAATTATTCCGGCGGAGACGCGCAATTTTTGAAAGAGTTGAGGAAAAATGGTAGCTGGAATTTTTCTCCGATTTTTAAAGCCCAAATTTTGCAGTATCCGTCGTCCATTATGACTATAAAAGTGCGGTTTACGGATGTATGAATTTTCTCACCCATCTGGACACTCTAACAATGTATTTCGTGCTTTTTCTCAATGTAAGTCTCTTTAAAAAAATATTTTTATTCAAAAAAATTTCAGATTTTACATTCCAACTGGTCGCCGAACATTCTCTACACCGTCTTTGTTTCCACTATTGCTCTCTATCTGTTTTTCTGTAAATTTCTGGCTGTAGTGGCGAATTCCAGAGAACATGCCAGAACCATCGTCACCTTGTTCCTTTTCGCCTACGCGTTTACTCCTGTGATACGGTCTGAAATTTAAACGATTTCAGACTAAATCATTTAAAATTTCAGAACCCTGACAACTTCAATCAGTCGGATACAATCTACTCGACATCAATTATCACCGCCATTCTTAGCTGCCTCTTTCATGACTATGGAGTCAAGGCGCCAGTGTAAAGCTTTTATTTAATTGCATCAAAATGTGTAGAAAAATATGTAGATTCACATTTAACACCAGCAAATTTTTTTTAATTGCAAAATCTTAAACAATCGCTTCAAGTTCATTTCTGGAAACTTCTTGAAGGTCTGGAACTCTTTTTTGAATTCCCGCCAAAACTGAAAACTCTGAAAAACAAACGATTTCTTTGAGATTTTTTGAAAGAAAAATTGATTTTTTGTTCAATTTGTTGCAAAAATTCTAGACCTTCTTAGGTTTTATAGCTATTTTCGAAGATTCCTTTTCGAATTGTTAGAATTTTTTGTCTGAATGTCTGAAATTGGACGGAACGGTATTCGTAAAGATTACTGTAGATTACTGTACAAAACTCATTTCCTTTTTTAGTTTTTTTTTTTTGCAAACACCTTCACAGTTTTTTTCTGCATTTTGACGTAAATGTGTTCGAGAAAAAAACTAAAAAGAAAATAAGCCGTTTACAGTAACCTACAGTAATCTTCCCGAACACCGTCCCGTAAAATTTCAGACAAAAAACCGAAAAAAAATGGAAAAAGAATCATTCAAAATATTGTCGAATTAAAAAAGTGGGACCTGAGAATTTGAAAGGTGTAGCTTTTTTTGATCTACGAAAAAGTGCGGCAAAAACGTAATATTTCAGAGTTTCGCCTCGTTTGAGCTAATTTCGCAATTAAGTTTGGTTTTTCGATGAAAAACAGATTCTAGAGATGCCAGCTATCATTTTCATACCAAGAAATCTAAATTTTGTCCAAAAAATCCCACTAAATTCACATAAATAAGTTTCGTTTACTACCGTAGTGTTTTTGGGCAAGGCGTCGAAAATTGACCGGGAAGCCGCCCGCGAAATTTTCCAGGTCCCACTTTTTTTAATTCGAAAATAGCTACAAAACCAAAAAGATCTAAAAATTCTGCTCAAAAATCGAAGAAACAATTAATTTTTCGTTCGAAAAATGGGAAAAAAATCGTTAATTTTTCAGTGTTTCAGTTTTGGCTTGAAGCGATTAGAGATTTGCGTTTTTTTTTTGAAATTTTTCTTTATTTCTATGTGAATCTACATATTTTTCTGCACATTTTGATGCATTCAAAAAATAATTTTTGGTCAGATCTCCCCCATCAATTTCCAATAAAATCAACTTTTCAGTGTCTCCTATCCAACATCAGTTAGCAGTGGTCTGAGCTCTGCAATTTTCCTGCTTTCCCGTCTCGAAGAGGACACTCCAACCCTCCTCCTTCTTGTCATTGCATTCACTCTCCACGCCTACGGAGCCGAATTCCGGAATCGGATGTTCCACGTGTATCCTGTCGCCTCCTCGCTAATTTTCACCGTTTTATCCTTGTTTTCTGTCTATTGCATCTCTTCGTTTTCCGTTGAACTTTCCGTTTTTTGGGCTTTACTTCATGTCTTCATTCTTTTCGTGTGTCCATTAATTCTTATTTTGAAGCAAACCGGTAAATGCACGATTCATGGACCGTGGGATGAAGCGGTTCCCATTAAATCGATGAATTAAAATAAAGGTAATTATTTATTTGAATTTGTGTGAATTCGATACTTTTGTTGATTCGGAATTCAACAAATAAACGATTCCAAAATAAATAAACTTTGATCGCACTTGGAGGCGGTCAGCAAACGCGCTCCACGGGGAATCCGAAGAAAATTTTCAATCGCGGCCACCATTCTGACTCATTCTATCCGTTTTTCCGTTGATTTTGTTCAATAAAACGAGATTTTCATGAATTTACAAATAAAATATTTTAGTTTAAACCAATTCCGACGCGATGGCGATGCTATTTGGCTTCGGACAATCAGCAGAAATCCAGATTCGGCTCTCGAACGAGGATAGTCGGAAAGTAAGGGAAAATTGAGTTAAATTTCATCATTTTCAGTCGGAAAATGCTGAAATAAATGGAAAATAAATTTAAATTTGTAGGTGGTGAAGGCGCGCGGCGACGATGGCAATCTGCATGACAATTTTCTCTACTACGACGGTGAATCGGTGGCAGGAACAGTGCATATTAATTTGAAGAAGGCGAATCACAAATTTGAGCATCAAGGAATCAGAATTGAGTTCATTGGGCAAATCGGTAAGTTTTAAAAGGGCTGAGGAAAAAAGAATTTTCTAGAAAATTGACCTGGAAATTTAAATTGATTATCTTTATGTTATTTGGGGTTTTTATTTTCCGAGAATTGTAAGTTTTTAGCGCGAAAAATAAGAAAATAACCCATTTTCCCGAAAAAGAAATACAAGTTTTTTCAGAATTACGGTTTTCTGAGAAATTGGGAACATGTGAATGGTTTATAGCGAAAATCGTGTCAAGACCTAACTTTGAGAATGCGAGAACACAGAAAAACACAAAGTCCAGAAAAATTACAGTGAAATCTCTCGAAAACCAAAAAAACACCTCAAAAACGTCCTCTGAAATGTGTGCGACACCGCAGATATTCCTATGGCGCCTTTCGCGGCGGGACCCGAGACACAGCCCTGGCAACATATGCGCCGCGCACCGACTCCGCCCATTTTCTCTCTACAACCAATTTAAAGTTTCAGTTTCAGAGGTGTACTATGATCGTGGAAATCAGCAAGACTTCATTTCGCTGACTCGTGAGCTGGCTCGTCCCGGTGATCTCACACAGAATGCACAGTTTCCGTTTGAGTTCAATAATGTTGAGAAGCCGTTTGAGACTTATATGGGAACCAATGTCAAGCTGAGGTTTGTTGATTGAGGCTGAATTTTATGATTGTCGATTTTTCCAGATACTTCCTCCGGGTTACTGTAATCAGAAGGCTCACAGACCTGACAAAGGAAATCGACCTAGTTGTTCACGCCCTCAGCAGCTATCCTGACAATGATAAATCGATTAAAATGGAAGTTGGAATCGAGGATTGCCTTCACATCGAATTCGAGTACAACAAGAACAAATATCATCTTCAGGATGTGATCGTTGGGAAAATCTACTTCCTTCTGGTTCGTATCAAGATCAAGTACATGGAGATTGCGATTCTAAAAACGGAAATCGTCGGATCCGGACCCAACACTTTCAAAGAGTCGGAGACAGTTGCGAAGTTTGAGATTATGGACGGGGCGCCTGTTCGTGGAGAATCCATTCCAATTCGGCTGTTCCTGGCTGGGTACGATTTGGCACCATCGATGAGAGACGTTGGAAAGAAGTTTTCAGTCAAGTACTTCTTGAATTTGGTGCTGATCGATGAGGAGGATCGCAGATATTTCAAGCAACAGGTATTTATTTAGAATTCGAAAACTTGAAATTGAAATTCTAAAAATTGAATTTCTAGGAAGTGACCCTCTGGCGAAAAGCTGACAAAGCGATGCGTCGTCCAGGATCAGACGATGAGGAGCCACAGACAAGTATCCCAGGAACCCAAAAGTTCACAGCTCCTTCTATCGAACATCCGAAGCCAGAATCCCCGAGATCCGATCCAAAAAGTGGATCCACGAGTCCTGATGATAATTCTGATTCTTCATAAATTATTGATTGTCTTTTCTTTTCATTCAAAAAAATTTCGCCGTCCTCTTCTCATCAAAAATCCGTTTCAAAAATTGCCTACTCTGTGATTACCCTTCTTCAAGCAAAAATTTCTATGTCCCCCAATTATTTATTTGTTCTCAGTCCCTTTTGAAAAACCATAATTTATATTGCACCCCAGCAGCCAGTTGACTCCCCTCGTAAACTTTGTAAATTTTCTATACCCACACAGTAAAGAACGTTTTATCTTGTAAGCTCGATTTATTCGCTGAGTTGGAAAAATGCCATCTCCAGTTATCTGAATTTTAGGGACCCTCAAGGGATTTTCGGAATTTTCGGAATATTCCGAGTTTCAAAATTCAAAAAATTCAGAATTTCGGATTTTTCTCATTTAAAAACACAAAATTGATGAAAACTCAAATTTTAATGCATAAATCCCAATTTTCCATCGAAAAAAACGGAAAAATTGGGGAAAAATTGATTTTAAAAATTCGAAAACGCACAAAAATGCTGACAAAACGATTTCCACTCGAAATCCGCAATAAAACTTCTCGCTTGCGCCTTTAACATACCGTAAGAAAGCAATTCCGCTCGAGACCCTCAAGAAGAACTTTGCGTGCGCCTTTGACATACTGTAGTAAATAAGATCTCTAAATTGGAAAAAAAGCTTCGGAAATTCCGGAATTCCGAACAAAAAATTTTGAAAATTCCAGACAAAAATGAACGCCGAGCCACACGATTTCCGTGATCACAAAGCGCACATGAAATGGACGGTAAGTCATTAATTTTCCAATTTTTGACCGAATTTTTTGATTTTGCCTGAAAATTTTCAGCAAGAAAAAGAGGCGTATCGTGCGAATATTCCCATGATTCCACAAGACATGTCCAGTGGCTCTCGAGGACAAACCCAGGCGACGACAGTGCTCCAGAAGGCACTCAACAATCCACTTGTACCTCTTGGCATGCTTGCAACCACTGGATGTCTCATTGGTATTCCTAATCACCTAGATAATTGAAATAATTCAAATTTTTGCAGGTATGATGGTTGCCACGTTGCGTCGAAGCTCCCGCGACGCCCAACTCTTCATGCGAGGACGTGTCGTTGCTCAAGGTCTCACAGTCGCTGCTCTCGTCGGTGGAGCCGTGATGTTCGGGATTGGAGCACCTACAGAAGCGGCTCTTCGTGCGCCAGGCAAAGGACAAGCCAACGTCGTCTCGCTGACACCCCCACCTGCAGTTCAGAATAATCATTAAATTAGCTGCTTTTTTGTTGTTCTCCATGAGAATTTTTGTTCGGTTAGTAGCTTTTAGAATCGTTGATCTGTAAATATATGGCTTTTATATTATTTACACAGGAAACAAAAACACGTGGCACCGCCGCGCAAATGACCAGAAAGAACAGTGAGCGGATGGGAGAAGACTATAATAATGATCTAAATTTAGCCTAAAATCTCATTAACAGATAAAAATACGAATTCCTAGAATTCAGAAAAAAGTGAAAGAGGTTTGAGGGGATGAAAAGGCACACAATATGATGAACAAAAACTAAAAATTATTCAATTATTCAAACGGAGCCAACGCTCTTCGAAGAATTCCGTACATTGAATTGATGATTCCCCATGCGACGAGGGATCGTGTAAAGTTCAGATGGACACCCAGGTAGAGATTTCGAAGCGAACGATTTCGGAGTTGCCAAACGTCTCGGAACACGCGGAGACCGCTGTCGTAGTTTACGCCGACCTGGAAAGAATCCAAGGGGATTAGTGGGAGATCGTGGTTAGACCTAATTTAGCGCTACTTTTTGGATCACCCAGTGGAAGGGAAACAAGGCGTAAAACTGGAACCTTGTTTTCAATGTTTTCAGTTTTTTTATTGAAAAATTATAGGCTTTATACGCTTTGTTTCCTTTCTACTGAAACATCCAAAAATGACGCCGAATTCAAAAAATTGGCCCCAAAATTACCTTTGCTTGCATATGATTTTTGACGACTCCCAACGGGAAGAACGCCGTTGATATCGTTGCACCTAACAGCGATCCAGCTATAAAATCGCCTATCCAGTGTTGAAGAGAACATGGAAGACGGCTGGCTTGTGGAAGGGATACTATCTGAAATTCCAGATTTCTATATCAGAAAAATATCTGAAAATTTTATCCTCACCCTATGTTTCAATGGATCTCTCAGCGTGAAGAAAAGTGTGTTGGACAAACTGTTTCTAACCAAAATCACCGAAAATCCTCTATAATATTCTCGATATCCGTACTCTTTTAATCGACTGAACGCGTGCAATGTATTCTTGAATTTATCATGGAATTTCGTTGTTTGAAGAAGGACTTGAACCCGTTCCAGCGGGCATAACATCGCTTCGCATACTCCTGCTGGAAATTTTGAATTGCAATGAAAATTTCAAGAAATTCTAAATTTTTGGGTACTCACATAAAAAGGCGGCTTGTGCGTGACAATTGAGAATGAAGAGTTGGGCGGTGCATGTGGGCATTTAAGGGAGATCTGAAATTCGTCGTACAATCCATACATCAACGCTCGACTCGTCGTTCGCATGATCAGTGGAGGCAGAAGACCTCTGTAAAGCTTTCCCACGCCTTCCAATTTGATTTGTTGAATCGCATCCTTAACGTGGAATCCGTGTAGCTGTTGTCGGAAGATGATCTTGTTCGACGGATACAGAATACACGTTTCGATGCATCCGGCTCCCCATCCCGCGATGAAATCCAGATGATTTCGAGTGGGTATCTGTGGAGCCGGAGCTAACGACTCCCGACTGCTCTCCAGCTTGGTTTTGCTCGGAACTCGAGGCTTGATTACCTGACACGGAAAAAAAGTTTTGAGACTATAAAATGGGCGGAAATTCGGGAAACGGACAAGAGAATTTCACATAGAGAATGAGGTGATTGTTTTTTTCATGATCAATAGTCTATTCGAACTCTATTTAAAAACAAACAATCATGAACAAAATTCCGGTTTAAAAAAATAGGTTATTTTTTCAAAGGAGCAGCACAAAATAACCTATTAGGGTTTCACACCGAATTTACATATTTTGACATGTTCCTATAATTACGGTTTTTAGTCTGTTTTTCAGGCGATTTTTCTCATTTTTCTGCGAATTTTACTAGAAGTCGAATAAGAATTTGGTAATACAAAAATTTTACTTTTTTTTACTCAGAACTTTTGCAATTTCTGACCAAAAAAGGAATTAGAATCACACAACGAATCGAAAATTCTATCAAAACACAGTAGTACTTTAAAGGAGCTTTACCAAATTTGGTAACGGAGCTTCACAGCGAAGATATGAATTATGGCATGTTCCTTTAAGTTGACGTACGGTGTGCGCTATCAAATTTTTATTTTTTCACTCAATTTTCAGTAGAATTTACTAAAAAACAAGGTTTTCCATGGAAAAAAGTTAGCAAAAGCGAAAGAAAAAGCTATATAGCTCAACACCCAACACGTGAAAGTTGCAAAAACAGGTCTCAACACGTGATTCGGGCGATAAACGACATTAAAAAGTTCTTCTCGGGAACGACGCCTTTTTTCTCGATTATAATGTGTGTCGCGGTAAACTTTGTTGCTGCAGCAATCAAGGTTGCGTGCGAAAAGTTGTCCGATTATCAAAAAAAAAAAGAAAGAGATAGCATTGACATAGAAAATTAACATCGAAATTGTCAACAAAAATTGAATAGAGAAAAATAAAAAGACTCTTTATTAAAGAGACAATTTTAATTATAAATTCCCAACTCTCGGTGTATTTCTCTCAGAGAAATCGAAAAAAAAGACAAAAATTTTGAAGAGTGCGAACTAACGGGAGTCGCTGGGGCCTCTCTATGAGTCTGTGTCTCTTGTCCCATTACACTCCTTCCCTGTTGCTTTTCTTTTCTTTTTTCGCTTTTCTATCATTTTCTTTCGTCCCAAAACAATTTCAAATTCCAAAGAACACGGGGTAATGTCAACTGCTGCTGCTCCAGCTGCTACTCCAAAACCACCACAATCTCCGCATATTTGGACTGGAAACGCCGATCAAGAGGATCGAGTTGAGACATTGATCAAGTGATGCAATTTTTTATTTTTTTTATAATAAATGTTTTCGATTTTTTCAGAAAATCCGGTTGCTGGGATCTCCATCTAAAGGTTTCCGATTGTATGGGAGAGCATCGGGACTGGAGAAAGTGTCAAGACGTCGTGAAGGAGTTCCGCACCTGTGTGCAAAGTGTACAAGTTGGTGAACCACCGAAAGAAGCCGAAGAAAAGAAACAGTAATGGATTTTCTAAACGAATTCGATCCGTCTTCTGACGATGAATCTACACCAAAAACTCGTAAAAATTATCCAATGTTCTCTCCTAATCTAAATGACAAATTCTGGTATCGCGATGTTTCGAAAGAGAATCAAACTGCAACGGCTATAACGTAATTTGAAATTGACCATATTCTAAAAATGGAATAAATTTCAAATTTCAGAGAAATCGACTTGTTTCGGGTAGCAGATTTTTATAGCAACGGCGATTACGAAGCAGCAAAACAGGTAATATTCCGGTATTAAAAAATCGGAGCTGAAGGTCCCACAACGACAACTAACCTAAAAATCGTTTTTTTTTCGGAATTTATTTTTTCTTGTTCACTGATTGTTCTCGATTTTCCTGTTATTTTCCTCCAGAAAAGCCGGGAATAAACGGAAAACGCTCGAAAAATCGAGAAAATAAATCCTGAAAATACAAATATTTTCAGGCTACGTTTTAGGACCTCCAGCCTATCAGCATAATACTGACCCCGATATGAATTTCAGATCCTCACTGATCTCCGTGAAAACACTAAAAACAACCGGACCCATGAAATCATGCTGATCGATTCCCTTCTTCAATGTACTAAGGAAGGAGGAGTATAGTTTTCTTTTTCTGAAATCTCAAAAAAAAATTTTTCAGCTATGTCAATCTGAAACTGACTACTGTCTGCGTCTCCTCTCTGAATACGAATCTCTCCTTGTTGATTCCGGTGATCAAGTTCAATTTCTTCGAACCAAAGCTTCAATCCTTGCTAAATTCGACAAAAATATCGAATTTCGAAACACCATGGCTCTTTTATGCCATCTGTGCGGGTCGTTCGATAATTGGCAACTTTTCGAATCTGGCGCCAAGTTTTTCAACGACGTCGAATTGTATGGGTTGAAGATGAAAATGAAGAAGGTGCTGCACTACGAAATCGATCATTCCAGAGGTTTTGTGAAGGAGAAATTGGAGAAAAAGCTGAAGAAAATTGAAGAAGAAGAGCAATATCTAGCAGGGAAATTGCAGCAAGATGATGTAATTCTTTAGACATTAAAAACTGAAATCCGATTTTCATTTCAGATCGATTCAATTCTCTCTTCTCTCAACTCCAACAAAGACGTCATTTCTCCAGAATCCGCCACGTCATTTGTATTCCGTGCTCACGACAGTCGCTCCAAGAACAAGTTGATTCCTGTTGCTGATCACCCATCTGTTATTTCTGATTTCTTTCATCGCTTTCCATTTTTGTCATGATTTAGGTTTTGTTAACTTTTCTTGTTTTTTTTGTTTCTTACACATGAATATTCTTTTCTAAAAGACGCAGAAATTTCAAAAACCCCTCCTTCAAACACTTTTTACGGTTGCCCATTTTACGAGGTGTGCTTTTAATATCATCCAGTTAAAAGGCGCAAAACGACTGTGTCTCCCTCTCTCCACGACGTAATTTGATTTGATAACCCATCAGTGCCAACGAGTGATATCAATGATTCGCCGACGCCATATAATTTTTGCCACGACTGTGTGCACAACCGACGACGACGCCCTCTCTGTCCTTTTTTGACTCATTTTCATCACAACCCCTTCAAAAACGTCATTTTTTCACTGAAATTCGCGATTTTCCGTTCCGTTTTTCTCTAAATTTTGGAACTTTTATTCGCCTCGCCGCTCTTCTAGAGCGAAAAAATTTTCTGTGACGGATACCGTAAGCTCTAACAGAAGCCCTCCCTATGCTTGAACTTTGAGCTCAATTATCTCCTTTCCTATGAGAGATATCAAGAATTTGTCAATTGGAAAAATGTGGACTATGTTTTTACTAACATTCTACAAAATAAGAAATTTTGGTATCTCTCATAGGAACCGAGATAATTGAGCTCAAAATCAAGTATAAGGTGGTTTTCTATTAAAGTGATTACGGTACCTGACAGAAGATTTGATTTACCAGATTCAAAAACTTATAAACTGACATGAAAATTTATATTACCCATAGTCGAAAAAAACAGAAAAAAAACATAGATTTGGTGAAGTTGACAAATTCAGAAGTTATGAGTTTCGAAATCAGAATTAGGTACTGAACATAACTATTTTTATTGTTTCTGCCTTTTGGTTTTTTTATCCGCAATTATTAATGCTATTCGAAATATATCCTGAATGATTAAATTTTAAATGTGACATTTGGGGAAAATCTACAGTAATCTCTTTCGGCAAACTTCGGGGATTATTTTCTTGGAGGTGAGCAACTTTTAGCTTTTTTGTTGATCTATAAAAATATTACAGTTTCAAAGTGCACATATTTGAAAATTGAAAAAAAGATCCAGTTGTCTTCTTAAACTTAATTTACAGTTTCCTGTCCAGAGTTTTTTAGAAATTTACGAATAAATAATGATGCCGGTGTGTTAGAGGGAATATATTTTTTCTAGAAGAATTCGTCAGCTAATTGGATACTAGCTATTTGAACATCAAGAAAAATAATTTTTGCGTTTTTAATGAAAACTAGGTTAGATTTCTGTTCTGGGGAGCAAAACTTTTTTTTCTAAAAAATGCAAGTAAAAGAGTGAAAATTTGAAAGAATCTCTTCAAAATAATCTAGAAAAATAATAGGAATGCCTTTGCTTTTTTTGTCATAGTTCGATCAAACTTGTATAGAAACGGAGGTAAGGAAGGCATTGCCATTGTAATTTTTCGATCTCTCATATGAACACTTTGAAACTGTAACACTTTTTAAGACGTAATATTTTGTAAAGAATGATGGAATGCGAAATTTCCCCTTTTGAAATTGATCATCCAGGTTGGGTATATGGGATAGGGCTAGTTATTTTTATATGATCAGAGAAAAGATCAGAGAAAAGATATATGATCAGAGAAAAGATTTACATTGCCATCGTTTGTTAACTTCTCACCTTTCATTCGTCAAATCCGTTTTTTTTTCCTGGACCTTAATTGATTTATGGGTAGAAATTTTGATAGAAGTACTATTCAAAACCATGTACTCTTTCCTTTCCATTGACTTTCCATCTACCTTAAACCTTAAAGATGTACTAAAAGCTCTTTCAACTTTGACCAAATTTATCCCTGTAAAAGATAAGGAAAAATAGTCAACTGACAAAACGTTTTCGATATTATGACAAAAATTTCATTAGTTGACAATTAGTTGACATCTTTCACAGGAACCGAGATAAATTGGGTCAAATTGGACAAAGTGATGCGGACCTTTTATTACGGGATAATTTGAATTTGAATGTACGTTCACAATGGCTAACTTCAAGCAATGTTTCAATAAGGAACATACTATCTTCATGAAAATACGGTTTCAGTATGTATAAATCACTCTACTCTCTCGCTGGTCTTACTTTAACAATTTCTAAATGATTCAGAATGCGTTCGGTGGCACTTTCTCTTCTTGTGCTCCTCGGAGCCGCTCAGGCATCCATCCTTCTTCCATATCATATGCCAGATGAGCTCATCCAATTGATGGCATTCCGTGAGCAACCACAAAATGCAGCAATCTCTGTTTGTAATGATATTCAATTCAACTATTGTCAGGTAAAATGATCTCGCGAGCTTCAAAATTGGCTCCAAAATTTGGTTTTTTTGAGAAATTCAAAATTTGTCTTTCAAAAAAAATTTTTTGGGTTTTAGGAAATATGAATTATTGGCAATTGATAAATCGTAGAAAATGGCATTGAATCACTAAAAAAATTAATTACTTACTTTATAAAAGGTTATGGTGAAACATTGAAAAATGTCTCGGAGAAACTTTTCATTGAAGAAACAAAGCCTTCCCTTCTAGCTTCATTATTTCGGTCCCTGTAAAAGATAACAAAAATTTGTCAACTGATAAAATGTTTATCATAACATCACCAACTTTTTATCAGTTGATGGATTTCTGATACCTCTCATAAGAACCGAGATAATTGAGCTTGAAGGACAGGGGTGGTGTTTGAATAGACCATTAAAAAAATTCATTTGCAGACCCATTTCAATCAGTTCTTCGGAATGGACGATTCCATCTCGTGGCGTAATGGTTCCTACATTTTCAACACTGTTCAAAACTATTTGATGATGAATGTCACCGAGTTGGTG